ACGGCCTGCAGTCCTCTGCCACTCTGCCCGGCACCCGCGGTGCTTGTGGCTGACAGCTCTCTTCCTTGCAGCTGGCATTCGTCTTCAGCTTGGTGGTCTATGGTACCAGTTACCGGTCCATGAACTCCATGGCAAAGCCATCTTTTGCAGATGACGGCAGCCTTGCTGACGGGGGAATTGACCTGAATATGGAGCAGGGGATGGCAGAGTGAGTGTCCACACCCGCACGAGTCCAGGTGAGCAGGACCTGCTGCCTGGGCGTGCACGCAGAGCCAGGAGGGCCCCCCAAAGGAGAAGGCCCAGCCTCAGCTCCCACCTCAGCTTGCCCACCAGCGCAGGTGTGAGGGGAGCTGGAAGCCCATAGCCATTTTTTCCTGAGAATTTACCTAAACTGTTCTCATTATCTGAATGCTTGGCCCAGCATGCGCTAGTCACCAGCCACCACAGGGGTCTGTCAGCCTGGAACGGTCACCGCCTTTAGGGCTGGGGCACACAGGTAGGAGATCCCAAATGGATCAGCTGGAGCAGCCGACAACTGCCTTCCAGCAAAGAGACAGCACTGATGCTGTGCATGCTTCTGCGGCATACAGAGATTTATATTTTCTTTTTAAACCAGCACTGCAGGTAGCGCTTGACAGAGCAGAAGGGCAATGCACTGCCAGTTACCCCATCACACCTGCAAACTGGCTGTGTCCTACATGCCACACAACCTGCCCACTGCCTTAGCCAGGTCCTCTCACCTCCTCAGCCTTTCCTGCCCCCCTGTGCTTGTGCATTCCCTCTGTCTGTCTGCAGACAGCGTCAAGCGTTTGCCTGTCCAGTGTCCTTGGTGGTGCTGTAACTCTTTTCTCCTCAGTTGAGGAGTGCACAACAGTAATTCTTGCGAAGTGCTGTTAAATAAGGAGACAACAGTGCTGAAACAGCAGAAACATCTCCTCTATTTACGAGTTTTCCAACAGCGAGCCTCACACTAGTTGCAGGAAGCTGCCAGGCAGTCATGGGCACGTCGGGCTTTGCTCTCTGTCCTCCCTGCCCTCAGCCTCTGTATGTTGGCCCAGCTTTCGCCAGGGATCTTCAGTGCATGCCCAGTGAGGCGCCTGGGGTACTTGGCCCCTTGCCTCCCATGTCCTTGTCCTACATTTTAAGGTTTACTTCTGTCTTTCACTTGCTGCCGAGCTTCTGAAGAAACCCAGCGGGGCCTTGTTTCTGGCAGAGCCCTCTGCATCACGTCAAACATTCTTGTGCTGGAAGGGCCGTGACTTGATTTGTATATTTTTATTAACAGAAGTTGTATTTCTGCAGCCAGTGGATGCCTGGGGATGTTAGCAGCAGGCAGACTGACTGGTGCGGCACAGAACCTGCTGTCTCTGCTCAGGATGAGCTCTCATCTTCTGTGTTTTTTAGTGGAGTAGTACATTACCTACGCGCAGCCAGAGTGACTCGGATGTCCGGTGTAGGAGACTCAGCCAAGGGATGAGGTTGCCAGGATGAGAGGGAGTAATTTCTAGTCTGTGATTTGTGAGCCGGGTGCTTTACGCCCTCTTTGTCCCATAGTGACTTCTTTTTCCTGCTGGTCAGCCAAGCGTTTTTGTCTTGTTTTATGCTGGTTTGGCACTCCAGGGTAGAAGTGTAAAATATTTTGGATACCTTTTTTTATGCATCGCAACATGGTTGTAAGGAAAGTAAGGAAACAAGTAAGGAAAATAAAGAAGTTTGGTGTCGTCTGGGGTATCCTCGCTGTGAGAGGTGCTCTCGGGAGACACGTAAGGCACCAAAGCAGATCAGGTGCCCCAGTAACTGCCCCATGCACTTGTGTGACAGAGCTGTCAGGGGAATGACGGAGAGGTGTTGGTACAGGGATCCTGTCGCCCGCTGTGGAAAGGTGACGAGTGCAGTTGTAGCACCGCTGCAGCCCTGGTTGCAGGTGTAGTACTTCCCTTGGTACCAGGGCTCCGAGGCTTTTCTGCCTGAGCAGTACTCAATTGGGGTGAGTTTTATTGACACGTTAAAATGAATTGGTGCTTGTCCGAGGCATGGGCTGCGCAAATCATGGCACAGCTTGGCGGTGGACCTGTAACAGCAAAACCTGCACAGCTGAAGCTCCAGTCCTTACCCTGTGCCTTCATACCCGAGCCAGCGCAGAGCCCTCAGTCGCGAGAGTGCAAGTCTCATTAGTTTAACCCCGTTGGTATGTGAACACAAAGTGCTAACGAACGCTCCTCCTGCTGATGGCATCCGTTTGTCAGGTGAAGCGCTCTGAGGTACCACTTTGGGGATCAGGGAACCACTCTGGGCTAGCAGTTCCTTTCAGAAGGCAGCAGGTGTTTCCTGCCTCTCGGCTGAGTGTGCTGCAGCTGATGAGTGAGCGCTCTTTCGGAGCTGCTGCTTGGGAGGCTGCGGATTTGATGGTGTTTCCTCGTGCTGCCTGTGCCTGGAGCAGATGCTGTGCGTTGCTTGGGTTGGGGAAGGCTGATCTTGCTGATCTCTGGGAGAGCTGGGTTCAGTGGGAGCTCTGCTGTTGCCCCTCTGGGGCCTCTGGTGATGCACAAGATTTTTGAACCTCAGTGTCTCATCAGAGAGCTGTTGATGGATTCTGCGTTGGCTTGAATTGACAGTGGTGTCCCAGCCCAAACCAGTTGCTTCTGATCACTTTGTTTTGTGCTGTGCTGCCCAGAATGAGACAAGCTGTTCCATTACCGTTACCTCTGCCTTTTGTTTTCTCCACTCCATTCTTGGATGCGGCTCGAGCGTTTCTTACTCCAGCAGATGATGATTTAATGGGAGTGAAGGAGCTGGCGTTTTTCTAAGCCATCATGGGACTCCCTGCGGCTTGTGCAGAAAAACCAATACCTGTCTGCCTCTTCTGGGTGTCAGGTCCCCCTGAGGGTGGTATGGGCAGCTTGTCGCTCTCCATAGCCGGCTCTCAGCTCTGCCCCAGGCTGGTGTGGAAGACCCTGCAGTCGGACAAGCAGGAGGTGGGGTGGGGGAGCCAGCTGTTGCTGTAGCTCGGCTTGCAGGTGATGGTGCACTTGTCCTTGCGGCACCCCAGTCCTGCGGTGACCCTGAGTGTGTCTGTCAGCCAGTGCAGTGGCACGGGGTTGATCCGTGCTTCCCAGCTGTGAGCGGCTCTATTTTATGCTGTGAAGTGTCAAATCAGTGGGAGCTGGCTGCTGTCGCAGGCTGCGGCGGTGGTGGTTTTGCTGCTGATTCCCACCCCCCCAGCATTCCTCAGCTTTCTCAATGTCCATTTTCAGAGGGAGCCTAGTTCATTAACTCATCAGATTTTTTTGTTTGTTTGTTTATTGCTCTTGATTCTTCTAGATTACCTTCTGCAGCAAAGCACAGCTGCAGGAACAGTCCTTTGGTCGGGGCGGGCGGCATCGCTCCCCGGAGGCGGCGCAGAGGGGCTGTGTTGGCAGAGGAGCTAGTGTCTTTGGCAGGGGATGGAATGGAAGATTTAATGTTTTGCTTTTCTTCTCCCAGGCATCTCAAGGATGTGATCCTGCTCACAGCCATGGTCCAAGTGCTGAGCTGCTTCTCGCTTT